TTTCTTTTGGTACCGGTGATATTCACGTTCCGGTGATGCCTTTTCAAGAGTGTGCAAGTTTGATGTATTGCCAGCCGCGTAACCAATTTTAGTTGAACAATGCCGACAAACAGCTTTGGTTCGGTCCACCTGTCTTTGTCCGTCATCCTTGTTCGTAACTGCAAAACCAAAATGTTCCCAAACCGGAGACTTCAATGATGCTGGAGGATTTTCGAGCTCAACTTTATCTGCGTTCGTCATTAATTTTCGACAGTTCCTCAAATTACTGACTAAATTTGAACGCATCCCTCTGACCCGCTCTCATAGTATGCCTCTCATCCAATGAAATGACCTGCTCGCTCTATGACGCGTTGAACCCAATGTGAGCAAATTACTCTGAATGCTGCGACGCAGCACCTGAGATTACTTCCAAAAAGTTGTTCACGTTCTCAATTTTTTACGTTTAACGTTATATTCGTTCGGTACACTTCGGTACACACCTGTACCGAACCGAAGGGCCCGTACCGAATAATTTCGGTACGGGTACGTGTACCGTTACACCCCAGATAGATAGATAGATAGATAGATAGATGGATAGATAGACAGAGATAGATAGATAGACAGATAGATAGATAGAGAGATAGATAGAGAGATAGATGGATGGATAGATAGATAGATAGATAGAGAGATAGATAGAGAGATGGATGGATAGATAGATAGATGGATAGATAGATAGACAGATGGATAGATAGATAGATAGATAGATAGATAGACGGATAGATAGATGGATGGATAGATAGATAGAGAGATGGATGGATAGATAGATAGATAGATGATTAATAGATAGTGTCCTAATGAGGGACAGTGAGTTCAGGACAGTGAGTCACACACACTGCTGCGTCTCTCAGCACTCCACAAGTGGACAATTTCATGTTCCCGCAATTAAACATGAGTAACATTTACGTGGCGTTTCGTTAAAGCTATGAGTTGTACTGAGGGAGTCCCACGGTCACAAACTACTCCCTGAAGACCGTCCATATTTACTTCAAACAGGTGTGTGTGTGTGTTGTGTGTGTGTGTGTGTGTGTGTGTGTGTGTGTGTGTGTGTGTGTGTGTGTGTGTGTGTGTGTGTGTGTGTGTGTGTGTGTGTGTGTGTGTGTGTGTGTGTGTGTGTGTGTGTGTGTGGTGTGTGTGTGTGTGTGTGTGTGTGTGTGTGTGTGTGTGTGTGTGTGTGTGTGTGTGTGTGTGTGTGTGTGTGTGTGTGTGTGTGTGTGTGTGTTGTGTGTGTGTGTGTGTGTGTGTGTGTGTGTGTGTGTGTGTGTGTGTGTGTGTGTGTGTGTGTGTGTGTGTGTGTGTGTGTGTGTGTGTGTGTGTGTGTGTGTGTGTGTGTGTGTGTGTGTGTGTGTGTGTGTGTGTGTGTGTGTGTGTTGATGGACAGAAAGCTGCAGCTGCTGCTATAACATCTCTCTGTGTGCGGTTATGAGTTGATCCTCCTCTCACCAACATGTGAAGCTGTTGTATGAAACATAATGAAGTCTTTAGAGGTGTTGTGACAAGAAGAAGAGAATGTTTTTACAACCCACTGATAGGGGATTTACTATTGTATAAGGAATGCACGTTCTGGATGAGGTTTCCTTATAGAGCGGTAGAGTAATGAGTCAGCATTGTACCATCTTTACACCCTAATTACCCTAACAAATAATGTCCATGGTTAATACAAGCTGAAGAAAATGTTGACATTTTGCTCCACGACACTAAATATGTCAGTAAATACCCCACTGGGGAATTAACAAGTGTCTAAACGGGACAACTAAACGTCATCACGCCCAACATTAGCCACCATTAGCTTAGCGGTGGTGACGTGAAGTCTTGAATGCATTGTTTGTTTATAGCCTTAGCTTTTAAACCTGGAGATTGCACATGTGCTTCAAAAATGGTAAAAGTGGTGTTACTAAGTGGATATATTCTCAACACGTGTAAGGATCATAGACTTGTGTTTGCCAAAGATCTTATTTGCTGCAATATTTTGCGAAATCCAATGGTAAAATGCCATCAGCGTTTTGCTAAGGGAGCCCTTGCAATGTTCCGTATACATAAAAACATCTCTACATCCAAACTCAAGGATAATATTACTAAATGTTTGACCATGATATATGATACAATTTCTGTAAAAGCCCATACAGTATAACACAAATGTCTTTATTATAGGTTTTTGTGAACTTTGTGAGGCTTCAACAACAAAAAACACACTTGGCTGTTTTTGGAATCAAAGTTTAAATGTCAAAGGGAGACCTAAAGCCAAATCAGCTGAATAAATAACGATTTCAACCAAAATACATTCATCTGTATACATGTTTTTAAAGATTATTCTGACCTGGAGAAAATCTAAAAATAAAGAAGAGACACAAATGAACAACTCTCTGTATCAGGAAGGATTTGCTCCAAACTTTATTTCTCGACACATCAGAGTTCACAGTGAGTTCCACACGGTAACAAAACACTCAGCAGTCTGCTGCTACGCCGTGTGACAAGTTAAAAAAGATACGGTTCAAAAAGTGACATTTAAGCGTGAAATAAAAATGAAATACTTTATAAAAAGTGAGAGGTGTTCAGGTTTGTAGAGCAGGTGAGTTCAGGCCTGGGACAGATCCACCTGTAAGACAGAAATAGCACACATATTGAGTTATAGCCAGGGGCGGACTGGGACTACAAATCAGCCCGGGACTCTCGACCGGCCCACTTCAGTACCGCAAGTAAATACCGCTAGTAAATTGTCGACGGGACTTATCCGGCCGGCCCACATCGTCCGACCGACCCACTTCAGTACCGGCCAGTCCGCCCCTGGTTATAGCACCCAAAATGAACATTTCATAGCACAACCTAACGAAAAAATCTACTTTTGACTTTCTGGCTACACTTAAGGCTATAAAGAGTTACTGTATCTGACTTTATGACGTATTCGCATGGTCTGATTTCAAGCCAGATTTTCATGAATCTTGGCTGAATCATGTAATGTTGGCGAAGGTAGAACACGATACATTTTGGAGAGGATCCGACTCACATGGAAACTTTTCTTCTCTTATGGAAACAGCTGCGGTAGAAGTCTGCTAACATGTTATGGGTTTGTTTTCAAGGGACATCATTGTTTTCCAAAATCACATCTACTATTTGGAGTGTGTTTGCTGATTTCATGAATTATTCAACTCAATTTGTTTGCAATACCCTAATAAGAATTGTAACCACATTGCCAAGTTTAATTAATGTTGTTCTTTAAAACACTTTGGACCAGATTACTTTGTCTCTAAACTTAGTGGAAATCTGAATAACACTCATCTGCTCTCTTCCCAGAAGCCACCAGTCTTATCATACAGCGGTGGAGAAGTCAAACTATTTATAACATGAGAGAGACTCCAGGAATGACAGAAGCTGTCCTCTGGTGACAGCAGGATTTCACATTGAGGGGGTCTAATGGCTTTTGGAGGCTAAACCATGTCTCCGATGCTATCACTCCAGGATACAAAATTCTGGGAAGTCGTACCCTTTTTAAGGACCCGATGCTGCTCCCACGGATCGCCGCCATCAGGTCGTCGCGGCCTGACCTTTGAGGCGGCGGCAGGTGTGTCGGTTCGTCTCGTCTCTTCTGGATGGACGGCTTCAAGGTGTTCTTCAGGTCTTTGAAAATATCTGCGCTCTCCTTTTCATTGGCGCCATTCTTGAGCTTCTTCGTCTTTGTCTTCTTTTGGTTTGACTGCGTCTTTGTGTTGTTTGAGAATTCGTGCTGTTTGACCATTTCGGATATCTTCCTCGTAGGCACTGCTAAAGAAGGAGGAGGAGGAGGAGGATGAGGAGGAGGAGGAAGGGGGGGATTTCTGTTCTGCTTTTCAACAGTCTTAGAAGATTGTGATGGCTTGTTTGGAAGTGTGTTTTCTGCAGATAAACCTTGTCCCGAGACCTCTGGAGGACTGTGTTCCTTCTTCTCTTGGAGCCTCCTCTGTCTCTGCTGGTCCTGGTTGCGTGTCAGGATGCTGGTCGACGTCATTCTCGGCCCAGGAAGGTCGAACTGGTATCCAAGCTTGAGCAGGGTTGTGTTTTCCCTCAGCAACTGGACCATTTCCATCTCCACTTTCCCCCCGCAAATGTGCCTCTGGTTGTGGAATCGGAGCTCCACGAGGCTCTGGTTGTGTTGCAGCGCTGCTATCAGAGCCAGGATGCCCTGACCAGACACAAAGTTGGACTCGATGTTCAGGTTTCTGATGAAGCGGTTCTCACGGAGCATCTTGGAGACGGCGAAGGCAACCCGGTCGTCGGCGTGGGTGTTGGCGAGGCTGAACACGTGGACATGAGTGTTTGTGCAAAGGGCCTCAGGGAAACGAAGCAAGGTTTCCTGGGAAATATCTTCAATGTTGTTGAGGTTGACTTCACTTACGGTGGGGTCGTTACTCAGGATCTGCTTCAGAGTTTCATCGATGACAATAGTGTTCCCACTCGCTCTGTCGGAAATTGTGTTTGTGTTTTGTTCTGTGGTTTCAGTCGTCTTCAATTCACCCTTTGAGACTTTTGACAGACCGTTCTTCAGAGGACATTTAATCCTGATTGGAGCCTCCTTTTTACACTCATCTTTCTTTTCTGTTTGATCTTCCTTTGCATCGTTTTCGCTTGACACATTCTGTGCTCTCTTCCCCTTTGGTAACATCTTCTTCCTGTCGCTGTCTGAAGTCTTGCCGGGGGTGTCGGTGGTTACTGTCACTCCTTCCCCTCTGCTCTTATCTTGGCGTCCCTCCTGCACACAATAACAGGACAGAAAACGAGGTCAAACCCTGACATTTTCCAGCCTCTGACTTTTAATGAAGAACCCTTTCCACTGCTTGCAGACAGTCATTAAAGCTGGCATTTGCATTTATCTGACAGTCTATATTTTTAGACTGTTTTCCACCCACACGTTTTAAATAAATTAGATACATGTAACACCTTCTACATCATTATATGTGTGTATGTTTTAACGGTAAACATGCATCTGAACCGATAGAGGACGCCATAAGGACCCTTTGGTCAGAAAGCAAAAGGCTTCACATGAAAATGATATTCATTTTGGCCCAACATGCAACATTTCACAGAAAGTTGCACATGCATACAGTGATGTTAACCTTTATCCATTTTGAGTACTTTTGATGAAACTACAAAAAGATGGCAACAAAGGCTCAGATACGTTGGCTTTCAGTCCCTAGTTTGGGATAAGCTCCAAAAACAATCCTACATTTGGACACCGTCTTTCAAACTCCACACCTGCCTAATAGAGAACCGCAGTGACGCGTCCTAAAACCCGGAAGTAAACTTCTTCCGGTTCCTTCGTCAAAAACGCAATGCAATTTCTCCATAGGATTTGTAAAATAGCTGGAAATAAGGTCTGTGGTTGAAACACATTTAAGAGACGGATCACGTTTTGTTCAGCCGGATAATCTCCACATGTCAACCCTACTTTTATAATTTTTGAATCATAAATCTAGTCGCCAGAAGCAAAATGCTAACGTTATGCTATAAACGAACTACAAGCTAGTACAGCAGCAGGGTCGCACGACTTCAACGTCACGCCAATTTAAGATCGTGACTTGCACTGAAACTGCACTTTGAACACTTTAAATATATTATTAACATTTTAAACTGTATACCCCGGTTATCTAGGCCCTTTTTGTTTTATGTATACATGTCACACTGTGGGAAACGATATGTCTGGATGTATAACACATGTAGAATTGTTGACAATAAAGCTGACTTTGACTTTCGCGCGCTTGCATATTTTAACAAAGCTTTTCATTTGAGCCACACTGAATTTAACTAGAAGTCATGGCTGTGTCAATTACCAGTCTGATATCGTTTTACAAAGATGACAAGAAGAGTGTAGATAGAGGAGAGAACCACTACAAGTCAGGACACGTCCAACAGTGCAGCCTAGATGAAGGTGTGCTTACCGGTGTTGTCAGGGCTAGCATGAGAGACATGGTTTATAGAGTGTCGGTGAGTAGTGATAGCAAGAGTACCGTTAACCTAGAGTTAATTTATTCACATTAGTGACATTAATTCCCATCAACAAATCCATTTTATGTGTCACATGAAATCTTTATTACAAATATTACACACCAGAAAACACAGAATATCCATGAAATAAACATACAGTAGGCTATAAACAATTAAAGGGATAATTGGGAAGGCATTACAAATGTAAATATATTTTAAATAATAAAACAATCCCACCACCACAGGTATCTACAGGAGAAGGGGAATTCTCTCCACAAAATGTGAATGCCCACGTGGAGAATGGAAATGCAGTCATGCGGCTGCATTAGCCATCTTTGCCATCCACAATTTCAGCTGCACTCACACCCCCTGTCAGTGGAAGAAGCTAAAGGCAGCTAAACGTACGCATTCAGTGGAGGAGCTATTTCCTCCAACCAATAACTCATTCAACCCGCTGACAAGAGAGCCCACCTCCGAAGATTGTGACTGGCTGAGGGACAGACTCGGGGGCAGGTTCTCAGGAATGTCTTGGCTTCTCTCCCCAGAGCCAGAAGAGGAACACTACAGCTTGGAAACACTTACTGTTCCTGAAATTATCAAATCTGTTGGGCATCAGGGACGTGAGGGCAATTTAGGTGGCTACCACTGGTCAGCGAACCAACCCAAACTGGCATTTGTTCAGGAAGGGAAGGTTGACTGCCAGCAACTTTGGAGCTGTCCTGAGGTCAAAGCGTGTGACTGCTTCCCTTATTGCCAGGGTGCTAGGGCAACAACAGGCCCTTGATGGCGTTTTGTCTGTACAGTGGGGGACTATGAATGAATGTGAGGGCGTCAGGGCATTCACCACTGCAACCCAGATGCAGGTCCATGAGTCAGGTTTGTGGCTCTCCCAATCAGGAGTGTTGGGGGCATCTCCAGATGGTCTGGTAGGGTCTTCCGCTGTGCTGGAGGTAAAGTGTCCCTATGGAGCCAGGGAAATGACAATTAGTGAAGCATTGCAAATCAAGGGCTTCTGTGTCAGTAAGGAAGGAGTAACATTCAGCCTGCGTGAGGAGCATCCTTACTGGCACCAAGTGCAAGGTCAGCTTCACCTCACTGCAAGAAAGAAGAAGACATTAAGAATCGTTTTTAATTTACATTTACTCGCCTTTGCAATGTTGTGGTTGTTAGAGTGCTTCCTGTCAGCTCATCTGTTGGGAAGATATCAAATATTAGTTTCATGGAAGTCACACCGTCACATATAAGAGCATTAAGACATACAGTACATAGACTAAAACAAAACATCTAAAGATATAACCTTGCACTTTGTCTCGTGAACATTTTCACTATTTTGACATTTTTATAGATCAAAATTGAACTAAAGAAATAAATGGTAGATTAATCCATATTGAAAATAGGTGTCAGCTGCTACACTAATTATAATAGTTATATTTCTTAATTAAGATAAGATATTACTGTATTGATCCCAATTTGGGAAATGTTTGTGTTGCAGCAGCATAAAAAGAAAAACAAAATATAAGTTATTATATAAAAGTATGTGAGGGATGGAATATTAAATATTAAATTGAATATAAATGTAAAATGTACATGTGATTTGACGTCCAAGAGAAGCTATGGAGCAGAGAGTTCTCTGCCAGCCAGAGTTGATTTGTTATTAGTTCAATATGTCAAACTGATTTCCCTGACTGCAATCTTTAGTCACATGGTGAAACGTTATGCTGCTTGTACTAATTAGACTTATCATATAAGCCACACAGGTTTTAATAGGATGTATTCATTATCTTTACTTATGTTGCGGTCTTTTCAGCAGCGCCATACAGTCACTACCCATCATTTACATTTCACCGTGACATGGACACAAATGTAACGTCAGCTTACCTCATGGCACGAATCCAGACTCTCCTTTGGAAAACATTGGCCGGGAAACGATAGAGCGAGCACGTTTCATGCGAAGACCTGTGGCTGCAACCCGGAGCAAAGCAACAAATCATTGCGTAGCTAACTAGTAGCGCTAGCTTTAGCTAACGTTAGCTAACGAAACGAACTGCCGAGTAAAATTGGAAAACACTGGTAATTAATTATTCTATAATTTGTAAAACTACGGTGTTAAAAACGACAATTTCAGAAATACAGATTCTAATGGTCAGATATAGATATACAGATACTAGAGATAGGCAGGGACTTGCTTTCAAGCAGAACACAGGGGAAACAAATTTAGCGGGAGTGTTCACGTGTTCGGCGTAATGACGTACAACGGCCTCGACAATTTCTGTAGTCCTATTCAGCCACTCGGTAACAACCATCGTTTTTCAGACACGTAAACTCTTCAAAAATCACCAGTGGGGTCACTGCTGATGTATTTAATGTCGTAGAACAAAACGTGATTTATCTCTTAAATGTGTCTCAACCACAGACCTTATTTCGAGCTATTTTCCAAAACCCTATGGAGAAAATGCATTGCTTTTTGACGAAGGAACCGGAAGTGCTAACAATTCTAACTTACTTCCAGGTTTTAGGAAGCGTCACTGCGGTTCTCTATAGCTTCTAGTCTCTGATTGATTGATTGATTGAAAAGTTTATTAACAGCTTGTATATTGGGTACAGTACAGTACAGCTCAAAACATACAATTGTTAAGGGGATGCAGACCAGAGAAAGACTTTCGTCTTTTTTACATCAGGGTCCCCCATTTCCAATTCATCATATCATTTAAGACATATAAGACATATTTGACATACAGATGGCTTATTTACAATTTACATACAGGTGGTTTTTTACATACAGATTGCTTATTTACAATTTTCATTTTAGATTTCGTTCTAATACATCCTAACCGGACATTTAAGACATACCAAGTCTACAGATATACAGTTAGTAACAGAGTCTAAAATGCGAGTATATACATAGATGGGGGGGGGAAGCTGTCCATTGAACGACAGGTTGAGATTTGTACCATTACCGGGGCCAGTTTTGCAATGCTCTCCCCCGAAGGTGCTCTTTAAGAGAGGTTTTGAAGGTAAGTATAGTTTTACTCTCCTTTACAGTTGTGCTCTAAGCCAAGATGTACTCCTGCAGGTTCTCTAAGGACGCCAAACCACTGTTTCCACAGGATGAAAAGGACTAATCATGACGAGTAAACTGATCTGCATGTGAAAAATACTTGGAGTGCTCCTTAAATCCCAAACTGAATCTGTTTCGTCTTTTTCTCCAAAAGGGCTGTCAGGGTGTTGATCTATTCTAGATGAGTCTTATTTTGTCAGAGTGAGACTGTTAAGACTTGTCACTCAAATCTGTTCATTACTTAAAATACTGCACATGTTTCTTTGTTATTGCTCCGATATTGTCTGGAAATACAGATAGAAAAATAAAAAATAAAGCTTGTTTTATCAATGAATACAAAAAAAAGTTTTCCCTTCGTAGTGTGATGCAACTAACTACATTTATAAATGTAGAGGAACTTAAGTATTTACTTTGCAGATTTATATTACTCATACTTTACATATCAACTCATTTGTTATTAAGTATTTAAATAGATTGAGATATAGAGACCATCAATAAGAGATGACAAAAAGATAACCCATTACATTCATTTAGTTAACTTATTGTTTCCTCAAAGTTACAGATGCATGGTGCAAACAGGGACCCTTTTTTAAACAACCCCTTGCTTGTAATAGATTGATTTGCGGTCAGAGTATTGATGTGTCCTCTCACCTGTCTGTCCTCCATCCTCTCGTCCTCCACCAGCTTCTTGTTCTCGTCCTCCCAGTATTTCATCAAGGCGTCCCTATCGAAGGTCCCAGTTGGGATCTTGGCGGTCTGGTCTTTCTGCCTCAGGCCGATGGGGACGTTGTCATCGAGGACGGCCAGCTCCCTCTCCAGCTCCTGCAGCTCCTCGGAGGACAGAGTGGCCAGCAGCTCGTCCTCGTCCACCTCCTCGTTCTTCTTCAGCTCCTTACGGTACCCAAAGGTACTCATGGTCCTTCACTCGTTCGAGGAGTCGTCAAACTCTTAAATCTCTTGCACTTTAACCCCCTTTTGTGTACTTTCAAATGTGCCTTATGTTGTTGATCTTGTCATTGACTTCCCTCCATTAAGTTCCTTCAGATAAAAGATGCTTTGGTAGACTGGTGGTGAATCAGAGAGTCTGGTTCCAGCTGCCCAAGAAGCCTGACAGGGGAAATAAGGGGAGGGCCGCCATGCCACTGATGGTCCTGTCTTTTTTTAGGGTGTTGGGTTGGGGGGGGGTCAAAGAGATAGGCTTACCGCAGGAATGTGAACCCTCTGAGTGGCCTGTGAACAAAACGTATGGGGAACAAAACGCCGTAGGGGAGACACCAGAGATGAAGATGTGTCCGGACACTGAATGCCACACACACTGGAATGAATGCCACAGCCTTGGTGGTGAAGTTGTCCGGGAAACACTTGTTCTCCCTGAGGATGGCAGGACTATGTTCAGTACAGCTGATTGTGAACACAGATGCTGTTTACACTACAACTCAACAACCTAAATGTCAGGACAGACTGAGTTGTTACCACTCTTACAGACATGTGTTGGAACAAAAACAAAGCAGTGACTGGGTTTCATTTCATCCATCTGCAATATTACATTTTTAAACATATTGCACTGTCATTCTTTTCAGCCAACATGAATGAGAGTTACTGACAGTGCTCTGACAAAATGGAAAATGTTTACATTCAATGAAAACTGAACTAAATGAAGCTGCTGATGAAGACTGTGATGTGATTTATGTTTATTAAGGATCCCCATTAGCTTTTGCTCTTGACAAAAGCTACTCTTCCTGGGGTCCGACACTTAAAACAATACAACAATAATACAACAACAATACAACAATAATACAACAACAATACAACAATAATACAACAACATTCAAGACATAATTCCTGACATCATTAACAACATCACCAACATCACCAACATCACCAACAATCTCATCCACTTTCAATATCAATCTCAGCCAAGGATGAGTGCACAAGACACCCACCAGTACACAGCATGAGATAACATTAAATTAGGGTTCTCAGCTCACATGGTCATTAGTGTAGAGGAAACTTCTGTGTAGCTATGCAGTGGGAGTCACCGACTCAGGAAGGAGACACGGTAGGAGCAGTAGCTTTGATGTCAAACACTGATGGTTTATTTGGAGTTAACGGCCGGAGGATTCACATCACAAGTCCAAGAGTCAGAGGTTCTGACTTCACGGTAGAGTCGCCACGTCAATTCTGGAGAGCCTCTCTCTTGCCAGCCCATCTAACTGGTTTCGCAGAGAGTAAACAACATATTTGAGGAGATAGCCTAAACAGTGTGGGAACACTGAGCTACTTGCGTCGGACACTTATGACCTCGAAGATTTCACCTTGGAGTCCACAAATACAGAGAAGGAAGTGTCCCAGTGTACCCACAACACAGACCATCTGTATCCCAGTATTGACCGGTCACAGAATGGGGACAATAACATTATTGGCTAAGCAGCCTGTGTCCTTAAAGAAGGTAAACAGACATCAAGGTTTGTCCTGTATGTCACATCTTGGCGTCTATGACAATTATTTCCATAACAATTAGTAGATGGCCCTTCAATCTCTTCTTGAAAGAGGCTCTGGACTCTACGTCAGCAAGGTAGTTTGGCAAAGAGTTCCATTATAGCTCTATAAGACACAGAAGGGTTCAGAAGATGTGTCCTGGGTTTAGGTGCCCGGAGATGGCCTGATGTAGCTTGTCTAGTCTTATGGTCATGCTCGTCTCGTCTGTAAACTATTTGATCTTAAAATACAGTGTTTTTTTGCTAAATTGGACATTTTTTAGAAAAGTGATAACACGAAATTGCAGACGTTTCTCAACTGGAAGCCATGATAGGCTTCTATGCATAACTCCAATATGAGTGCGCTTCAAACAGTGGAGAGCGAGTCTGGCAGCCTTGTTTTGAGCTATTTGTAATTTCTGTAAATGTGTTTTTGCTGCTGATGAGCATATGACCGGACAGTACTCAAGATGTGACAAAACCAGAGACTGAATGACTTGTTTCAAAGTGGTTGGTGTTACATACTTTGTACATTTTCTCGCCACAGCTATGCTCCTTCCCATTTTAGTTACGATACTGTCAATTTGCTTTGTCCACCGTAAACCAGAATCAAGAACAATGCCAAGCAGCTTAGTCTCATTGACCTGTTCCACTGGCTGACCAGCCGGCGTCAGGCTTAATGGGGATTGCTGCTTAACATATACATAACACATATGATTGAAACCTCTTACACCTACTAAATAGACCCTCTGGTGAGAATGAACTTTCATATATCTCAAATATTCAGTTGATTATTGACTATTCATTATAGATTACTGATAAAAACAATAGACCAAACAACAGAAATAATCTGACTTTGTCCTTTTAACCTGGCTCCATTGCCGACATGTTGGCTAGAGGTCAATCTGTCAACCAAGCAAGTTCAATTTGCAATCGCTGTGTTCAGCAAAGAAATCCTAGAAAACAGAAAAACGGAAGTAGAGAGATTCAAACACAGACTCAACTTCATGTTTATTTGCTGCCGAGCTGTTGTATTGGACCATACCATGTGACATAAGTGTTGTCATTATTGTGTCCACCCCTCTACTGGAGTAACCTCAGTATAGATGTGCAGAACTGACCTTCAGTTTGAATAAAATGTTTTTGGAGGGAGCACGGTTTGTTGTTTTGTTTCTAAGACGACCATCAGAGCTCAACATGCGTCCGTCACTGAGCATGCTTAACAATTCGTCTCGTGTTACATGTCCGAAAGTGAAAAGACTCCGAGCGACATAACACCTCTCTCATCCTAAGCCTGCTGTAACATAACCTTTGACCTGGATCATTGCTGATTAGTCATCCTGCTGCGATGCCCAGGCGGAGAATGGAAACATTTTCCGTTACAAAACAAAGGAAGGAACGGTTTCTGCTCGTTTACACAGATTCTGAAACGGTTTCCTCATAGGTCGGATTCATTTCCTTTCATCTTTGCAGCCAATTCCCAAAGAGATAATCAGTGCCAGTGTTCGTCTCGCATCTGAGTTCATGTCTAAGGTCTTGTTTGTTTGTCGGTCGGTCGGCAGGATTACATAAATAAAACCCCAGGCCCAGTTTCTTAGAACTTGTTCGTACAATAGAGTATTTGCAAAATAAGAAACATTGTACAGCCGATGTGAAGCCGATGCAGCCGCTACGACACAGCGCGCTGGAGGTCTGTGAAGCCGATGCAGCCGCTACGACACAGCGCGTTGGAGGTCTGTGAAGCCGATGCAGCCGCTACGACACAGCGCGCTGGAGGTCTGTGAAGCCGATGCAGCCGCTACGACACAGCGCGCTGGAGGTCTGTGAAGCCGATGCAGCCGTTACGACACAGCGCGCTGGAGGTCTGTGAAGCCGATGCAGCCGCTACGACACAGCGCGCTGGAGGTCTGTGAAGCCGATGCAGCCGCTACGACACAGCGCGCTGGAGGTCTGTGAAGCCGATGCAGCCGCTACGACACAGCGCGCTGGAGGTCTGTGAAGCCGATGCAGCCGCTACGACACAGCGTGCTGGAGGTCTGTGAAGCCGATGCAGCCGCTACGACCAGCGTGCTGGAGGTCTGTGAAGCCGATGCAGCCGCTACGACACAGCGTGCTGGAGGTCTGTGAAGCCGATGCAGCCGCTACGACACAGCGCGCTGGAGGTCTGTGAAGCCGATGCAGCCGCTACGACACAGCGCGCTGGAGGTCTGTGAAGCCGATGCAGCCGCTACGACACAGCGCGCTGGAGGTCTGTGAAGCCGATGCAGCCGCATACACACATGCACGCATACACACACACCCATATACACACACGCACACACACACACATACACACACGCACGCATACACACACACACCCTACACACACACACACACACACACACGCATACACACACACCCATACACACACACACACATACACACACACGCATACACACCACCACCCTACACAACACCACCCACACCACGCACGCATACACACACGCCCTCATACACACACACACCCCTCTCACACCCCTCACACACCCACACACACCCCTCACACACTCACTCATACACACACACCCTACACATACACCACCATACACATACCACACACACCCATACACACACACGCACACATACACACACACGCACGCATACACACACACACACACAAACATGCACACACACGCACCCATACACACACACGCATACACATACACACCCACACACACACACACACGCACACACACACACACACACACACACACACACACACACACACACACACAGCAGCAGCAGTTTCATAATTGGTTCCAATTAGTGGTTGAAGAAATTGAATACGCGCTGCTTGAAAGTCTGAAGCACTTCACTTCACAGTTCTCTTTATTGAACAGGAGGACATTTGCAGAATAGAGTGAAACCTTTATGTGCCTTTATTTTCAATTGAATCATTTCAGTCAGTGTAAGCAGTATGATTTCATTACTTCCTTGACAGCAAGTTTAACCGCAGAACAAAATGTTGTGTTCTCTCGAGAGGTTATTGAGAAAGCAGTTTTGTTGGATGGGAACGTAACTTTTGGGAGACGAGGTTGGCAGTTACCTTGTTGACGTCACCCCATTCACTTTGAATGGGCTGACGTCACGCTTTGCCTCCGTTGCTCGCTTCGAAAGTTGAGAGAAGTTCAACTTTTCAAGCGTCGACGGAAGCGCCAGCCAATCAAATCATATGCCAGTACAAGCTCTAGCCCAGGGGTGTCAAACTCAATTTCATCGCGGGCCACATTCGCATAAAGGTTGCACTCAAAGGGCTGGTTGTAACCATATAAATATATAATATATATATAAAATAATGTATTATATTACTTTATTGCCTCTGAATTGGATTGTTATCGGATGGGATAATAACTTAGTAATTAACTACGTCTGAAAGCAGAAGTCCAGGGCAAATAATTGCAAGTCTCTTCAGTGCATATGTCACAAAACGAGATGTATTGTGGGACATGTAGTTTGTGGGCAACCTGCTTCTGTAAAGTGGCATTTAACCGTATAATAAACGTATTATATTCTTTGCAAGCTCTTGCGGGCCACAGAAAAAGAAGTCGCGGGCCGGATTTGGCCCCCGGGCCTTGAGTTTGAGACCCCTGCTCTAGCCAATCAAACCGTGTGCTTGTGTGTCCAGGGCGGGAGATTCATGTGATTGGTTGTTGGTAGCGCCAGACACGCCCACTGGCAAGCTTCAACGCACGCTGCCGTGTGGACGTCCCGTTAGCGTGCTTAGCACATTACAACACCTGCTGGTTCACAGCTTCCTCAGAGATGACCCCAAACTTCCTGCTTCACTCCAGTTCTGAAGTCTTTAGGAAGCTGCAGCTGATTCAGAACGCCGCTGCTCGAGTCCTCACTGACACTAAGAAAGTGGATCACTCCTGTTCTGAAGTCTTTACACTGGCTTCCTGTGTGTCAAAGAATAGATTTCTAAATACTGCTGCTGGTTTATAAAGCACTGAATGGTTTAGGCCCAAAATACATTTCTGACCTCCTGCTAAATGATGAACCATCCAGATCTCTCAGGTCTTCAGGGACTGGTCAGCTTTCTGTCCCCAGAGTCAGAACTAAACATGGAGAAGCAGCGTTCAGTTATTATGCTCCAAATATCTGGAACTCCCAGAAACCTGCAGGTCCGCTGCAACTCTGACTACTTTTAAATCCAGGCAAGAAGACTTTTCTTTTTGCCGCTGCTTTTAATTGAACTATTCATATCTTAGACTGCACTGTAACTTTTTTGTTCTTGTAGCTTTGTTACAGCACTTTTATACTAATAAAGGGCTGGCTTACCTAAAGCCAGTTGAGTAGCACTTGAAATGTTTTGGCTCTATGAAATGAAATGCAATGTAATGTTATTCATGTTTTATTATCTTTGCTTTTAAATGAGTATTTTTAAATAATTTTATAATGTTTCTTAATGCTCTTAATGTCTTCCGTTGTGATAAAGCACTTTGATTAGCGTATAGGGGAGAAAGGCGCTATATAAATGAACTTGCCTTGCCTTGGTGACTACAGTTTGGAAATCCTTTGAAATGTGACCTCTGTCTGTTCTCAGGTTCTTGTGTGACCTGATAAATGCTAAATGTGAAGCCATTGTTGTTGTTGTTGTTGTTGTTGTTGTTTCTGCAGGTCGCAGGGTTACATTTACAGTCAACCTGCTTAACGGTCTGCATTGGAAACCGCAACTTCTCACTGCAAGAGAAAATACATTATGTCAATCAACCATTTGTTGACTATTATAGGAAGTGGATGTAGTCGCCGTTATCTCGTCCATTGGTTTGTGGACTACAGTTTTTCAGCCTTGACGTTGGCAATTTAGCCGTTGCTGTTAGTTGTAATCTTGCTAGCTTGTTCTTTTGGAATCGGTATTAAATAACGGGTGGAACAAAGTACAACTGTATGACAAATAAAAGGCCCTTTCATGAACTGACAACACTGTTCAAATTGTACGGTGGTGGTAGCGACCTGTCAATCACAATCACTTAAAACATTGCAAAAGAGCGCTGCTTTATTGTCGATTGTATTCTAAGTGAAAATCAATGATTATCCTGTTAAACTAGAGAATCAGACCATAAATACAATAAGAACATGTTGAAAACTGAGGTAATATAATGAGTCATTTTTTCATAAACCTTTATAAAAATCAAAATACACTGAACTAAAATATAAACGCAACACTTTTGTTTTTGCTCCCATGTTTTATGAGATGAACTCAAAGATCTAAAACATTTTCTATAAACACAAAATAACCATTTCTCTCAAATATTGTTCACAAATCTGAAAGAATCTGTGATAGTGAGCACTTCTCCTTTGCCGAGATAATCCATCCCACCTCACAGGTGAGGCATATCAAGATGCTGATTAGACAGCATGATTATTGCACAGGTGTGCCTTAGGCTGGCCACAATAAAAGGCCACTCTGAAACGTGCAGTTTTGCTTTATTGGGGGGGTCTGGGGGGGTCCGAAAACCAGTCAGTATCTGGTGTTAGGGGTAGGGTTAGGGTAATGTTGTGAATCGAGTGGCCCATGGTGGTGGTGGGGTTATGGTATGGGCAGGCGTATGTTATGGACGACGAACACAGGCCACTCGATTCACAACATTACCCTAACCCTACCCCTCACACCAGATACTGACTGGTTTTCGGACCCCCCAGACCCCCCCAATAAAGCAAAACTGCACGTTTCAGAGTGGCCTTTTATTGTGGCCAGCCTAAGGCACACCTGTGCAATAATCATGCTGTCTAATCAGCATCTTGATATGCCACACCTGTGAGGTGGGATGGATTATCTCGGCAAAGGAGAAGTGCTCACTATCACAGATTCTTTCAGATTTGTGAACAATATTTGAGAGAAATGGTTATTTTGTGTTTATAGAAAATGTTTTAGATCTTTGAGTTCATCTCATGAAAAATGGGAGCAAAAACAAAAGTGTTGCGTTTATATTTTTGTTCAGTGTAGTTGAGTCGCCCCCTGCTGGCCATTTAAAGGTCACTCTAGACTGAAATCTCTCAGCAATCATTTGATGGATTGCCTAACCAACATGCATTGAAACCAGAGCATGAATTCTAATTTAAGCCAGACACGTTAAACTTTTCACTTATCCAGTGAAATATGTCCAAATGTAACCCATAGATTGGTTCTGAACTTTCTACATTCATGATTCCCAGGCAATGTATCTCTTTAATAACAGACAGTACAAATGTATTTACAACTTTTTGAAATGTGACCGTAAACAAACCCACTTCTCAGGAAGGAAAATTCTCAGTAGCAGGAACCTGAAATCTGAATCATCTCACATAGTGATTGACCGCAGACATTTCATGTTTACTTTATGCAGCCTGGACCAGAAAGATCTAATGCCCCTTTGAAACAATGTGATAAGGGGCAGTCATACAGTACAGAGATGGGCCTGTAAAGGTAACTCTAACACTGCAAAAACACATATTTACTCCTAAATTGACTTAGGAAATTTATTGCGTGTCATTTTTAGATAATTGTGAAACATTGACGCCCTGCTCCATACAGTAAACCACTTTTATGGCTCATTGAATATGAAGGATTTCCTCGTCCGCACAGTCCCCCCTGCAGATGATTTTGGCGTCCAGGTGGCTCTCTTTGAACAGCAGGTAGTCCTTCAGCCGGTTGGGCAGCGGGGCGGACGCCATGCTGCTGCAGCTCAGGTGTTTCCTGATCACCACTCTGCTCAGGTGAGACAGAGAGCGAGGGTTACCTGGAAGTCACAGAGAACACAACATTTGGACCAGTGACAGAAAACGTGTCTAATAAACAGAGGTGGGAAGTAGTGGAGTACAAATACTTCGTTACTGTACTTAAGTACATTGTTCTGGTATCAGTACTTTACTCCACTACTTATTTTTCTGACGACTTTTTACTTTCACTTCTTACATGTTGAACACAATACCTGTACTTTCTACTTCTTACATGTTGAACACAAATACCTGTACTTTCTACTTCTTACATGTTGAACACAAATACCTGTACTTTCTACTTCTTACATGTTGAACACAAATACCTGTACTTTCTACTTCTTACATTTTGAACCCAAATACCTGTACTACATGTTGAACACAAATACCTGTACTTTCTACTTCTTACATGTTGAACACAAATACCTGTACTTTCTACTTCTCACATGTTGAACACAAATACCTGTACTTTCTACTTCTTACATGTTGAACACAAATACCTGTACTTTCTACTTCTTACATGTTGAACACAAATACCTGTACTTTCTACTTCTACATGTTGAACACAAATACCTGTACTTTCTACTTCTTACATGTTGAACACAAATACCTGTACTTTCTACTTCTTACATGTTGAACACAAATACCTGTACTTTCTACTTCTTACATGTTGAACACGAATACCTGTACTTTCTACTTTTTACATGTTGAACACTAATACCTGTACTTTCTACTTCTTACATGTTGAACCCAAATACCTGTACTTTTACTTCTTACATGTTGAACACAAATACCTGTACTTTCTACTTCTTACATGTTGAACTACAAATACCTGTACTTTCTACTTCTTACATGTTGAACTCAAATACCTGTACTTTCTACTTCTTACATGTTGAACACAAATACCTGTACTTTCTACTTCTTACATGTTGAACTCAAATACCTGTACTTTCTACTTCTTACATGTTGAACTCAAATACCTGTACTTTCTACTTCTTACATGTTGAACTCAAATACCTGTACTTTCTACTTCTTACATGTTGAACTCAAATACCTGTACTTTCTACTTCTACATTTTGAACACAAATACCTGTACTTTCTACTTCTTACATGTTGAACTCAAATACCTGTACTTTCTACTTCTTACATGTTAAACTCAAATACCTGTACTTTCTACTTCTTACATGTTGAACTCAAATACCTGTACTTTCTACTTCTTACACTTTGAACACAAATACCTGTACTTTCTACTTCTTACATGTTGAACTCAAATACCTGTACTTTCTACTTCTTACATGTTGAACCCAAATACCTGTACTTTCTACTTCTTACATGTTGAACACAAATACTTGTACTTTCTACTTCTTACATGTTGAACACAAATACCTGTACTTTCTACTTCTCACATGTTGAACTCAAATACCTGTACTTTCTACTTCTCACATGTTGAACTCAAATACCTGTACTTTCTACTTCTTACACTTTGAACACAAATACCTGTACTTTCTACTTCTTACATGTTGAACTCAAATACCTGTACTTTCTACTTCTTACATGTTGAACTCAAATACCTGTACTTTCTACTTCTTACATGTTGAACTCAAATACCTGTACTTTCTACTTCTTACATGTTGAACTCAAATACCTGTACTTTCTACTTCTTACATGTTGAACCCAAATACCTGTACTTTCTACTTCTTACACTTTGAACACAAATACCTGTACTTTCTACTTCTCACATGTTGAACTCAAATACCTGTACTTTCTACTTCTTACATGTTGAACACAAATACCTGTACTTTCTACTTCTTACATGTTGAACACAAATACCTGTACTTTCTACTTCTTACATGTTGAACCCAAATACCTGTACTTTCTACTTCTTACATGTTGAACTCAAATACCTGTACTTTCTACTTCTTACATGTTGAACACAATACCTGTACTTTCTACTTCTTACATGTTGAACTCAAATACCTGTACTTTCTACTTCTTACAATGTTGAACACAAATACCTGTACTTTCTACTTCTTACATGTTGAACTCAAATACCTGTACTTTCTACTTCTTACATGTTGAACTCAAATACCTGTACTTTCTACTTCTCACACGTTGAACTCAAATACTTGTACTTTCTACTTCTTACATGTTGAACACAAATACCTGTACTTTCTACTTCTCTCATGTTGAACTCAAATACCTGTACTTTCTACTTCTTACATGTTGAACTCAAATACCTGTACTTTCTACTTCTTACATGTTGAACACAAATACCTGTACTTTCTACTTCTTACATGTTGAACTCAAATACCTGTACTTTCTACTTCTTACATGTTGAACTCAAATACCTGTACTTTCTACTTCTTACATGTTGAACACAAATACCTGTACTTTCTACTTCTCTCATGTTGAACTCAAATACCTGTACTTTCTACTTCTCACATGTTGAACACAAATACCTGTACTTTCTACTTCTTACATGTTGAACTCAAATACCTGTACTTTCTACTTCTCACATGTTGAACATAAATACCTGTACTTTCTACTTCTTACACGTTGAACTCAAATACTTGTACTTTCTACTTCTTACATGTTGAACACAAATACCTGTACTTTCTACTTCTCACATGTTGAACACAAATACCTGTACTTTCTACTTCTTACATGTTGAACTCAAATACCTGTACTTTCTACTTCTCACATGTTGAACACAAATACCTGTACTTTCTACTTCTTACATGTTGAACTCAAATACCTGTACTTTCTACTTCTCACATGTTGAACACAAATACCTGTACTTTATACTTCTTACATGTTGAACTCAAATACCTGTACTTTCTACTTCTCACATGTTGAACACAAATACCTGTACTTTCTACTTCTTACATGTTGAATTCAAATACCTGTACTTTCTACTTCTCACATGTTGAACACAAATACCTGTACTTTCTACTTCTTACATGTTGAACACAAATACCTGTACTTTCTACTTCTCACACGTTGAACTCAAATACTTGTACTTTCTACTTCTTACATGTTGAACTCAAATACTTGTACTTTCTACTTCTTACATGTTGAACACAAATACCTGTACTTTCTACTTCTTACATGTTGAACACAAATACCTGTACTTTCTACTTCTCTCATGTTGAACTCAAATACCTGTACTTTCTACTTCTCTCATGTTGAACACAAATACCTGTACTTTCTACTTCTCTCATGTTGAACTCAAATACCTGTACTTTCTACTTCTAACATGTTGAACTCAAATACCTGTACTTTCTACTTCTTACATGTTGAACTCAAATACCTGTACTTTCTACTTCTCTCATGTTGAACTCAAATACCTGTACTTCTACTTCTAACATGTTGAACTCAAATACTTCTCACATGTTGAACACAAATACCTGTACTTTCTACTTCTCTCATGTTGAACTCAAATACCTGTACTTTCTACTTCTAACATGTTGAACTCAAATACCTGTACTTTCTACTTCTTACATGTTGAACTCAAATACCTGTACTTTCTACTTCTCACATGTTGAACTCAAATACCTGTACTTTCTACTTCTTACATGTTGAACTCAAATACCTGTACTTTCTACTTCTCTCATTTTCCAAACAGCTGGTTCCTTTAGTCTGAATGTGTGTTTGATGCGTGATCATTATTCTTTAGAGTCATTGCGTGCCTATTGATTTGAACAGGATCCGTGTATCCATCATTTCCTGGTCTTCTCTAAAGAAGAGGGACCAATGGAAACGTTGTCATGTTGCCGTTGTTCAGCATGGAAACATTCATTAGCTAACAATTACATTATTGTTCTATTAATATAAAGGGAGGTCAGGTACTCTTTAAAGCAGCTGCTAGTTATGGGTACTTTTTACTGAAGTACATTTCAAAGCCTCTTTACTTTGACTTGAGTAAAGAAGTTTAGTCAGTACTTCTACTTTTACCAGTGTATTTTTAAACACGAGTATCTGTACTTCTACTTGAGTAAAGGATGTGTACTTTTGCCATCTCTGCTGATGATCAGTTTGAAACATAGCTCAATACGTAGATTACCAAACGTGAGGAAGTGTTCTGACCTAAAAGCAGCGGGGTTTCGTTCTTGCTGTTGGTCGTGTGAGGAGAAGCGCCGTTCTCCAACAACAGCTTCACGTTTTCCAACAAATCATCTCCAACCGCTAAAGCTGCTAGTTATAGGTACTTTTTACTGAAGTACATTTCAAAGCCCATACTTCTTTGCTTTGACTTGAGTAAAGAAGTCAGTACTTCTACTTTCACCAGAGTGTTTTTAAACACGAGTATCTGTACTTCTACTACTTGAGTAAAGAATGTGTGAGCTTTCGCCATCTCTGCTAATAAATTGGTTCGAAGTGACTGGAATCGTCTAATTGTCTAATAGTTTTTACCACAGCGGTAACTCACATAGCGTCCAGTGGATGTGAGGCCACTCCTTGTGTGCCTCCAGGGTTTTTGTCAGTTTGCTGCAGAGGGAAACCTGACCGACGTATTCGAGGAGGATCGACACCGCTCGGCCCACCAGGTTGTCCAGCCAGGAGACGCTGACGAAATCACAAAACTGGAACACGAGAAGATATTAATGATTATATATTAAGATAACATTTTACTGAAATGACATATTTCTGACTTATTTTACCAATATATCCCAAACATTGATTTATACACGACTTTAAGTGTATGACACCTTTTTTTTGCACATATTAGGAGCTAGCAATCGGACATATAGCCACAAATTATTTGGCTTAATGCTCAAGGATTTTTCACACACATGTATTGATAGGTAAAACTTTGTCCAAAATGTTACTTCCATGGTGTTGATCAACTCACAGGGACTTTCTCCTCCTGATCCTGTGAGTACCCAGCCTCGCTCAGCTCCTCCCAGTCGTCCTCATGGTGGCAGCAGAAACACTTCTCTGCATTATATCTGTTGTTGAGCAGCAGCCTCATCATCACCTCGTCCTTCAGGCAGTACTGCAGCGCCGTGGGAAACACCGTGTCGTTCAGCACCGTGAAGTAACAGTTCACGTCCGCTTTAGCCGCCAGCAGCAGCTTCACGATGTCGTAGCGCCCCGACCTGACCGCCACCAGGAGGCAGCACAGAGGGTCCAGGTTGGGATTGGCCCCTGATTTGAGCATAATCTCAGTACAGGTGGCATCCCCGTTGGAGACGGCGAAGTACAGCGGGCTTTTCCTCATGTCTCCGTAGTTGTCGGAGATGTGAGGGGCTAGCTGAGCGTTGACGTCGAAGCCTTTCTGCAGCAGCAGCTCCAGGCAGCGGGTGTTTCCTCCGTCAGCAGCAGAGTGGACGGGGCTGTGGCCGGAGACACGCAGGGCCCGTCTGGTGGTGATCGGGATCAAAATCCTTAAAGCTCTGATGAAGAAAGAGAGTAGAAAGTTCTTAAAGTTCTTATGAATCAGGAAATATTCTACATGAAGGCTGAGCAGTTTGTTTTTTGAGGCAAAGCAATGGACCTGTCTGTCAATTTACGATACCAACTATTTTAGATTCTGCTAGTTGAACTTAAAGAACAATCAACTTCCTCAACGCACTCACAGGTGGTGTCCCTCGTACGCAGCGTGGTGCACGGGCAGCTGGGAGCTCAGGTTGTGGACGTTGGGATTGGCTCCGTTCTGCAGCAGGATGTTGAGACAGTCCGGGTCTCCTGACCCTGCAGCGTCGTTCAGAACACTGTCGCCATTTGGTGCCTGGGCGTTCACATCAGCACCTTTTTCAATGTGAAAACAGAAACAGTGTTCAATCAACCATCACAACACAATCAGCCGAGGTTCCTGCCAACCTTTTCTCCCAGAAGTTACGTTCCCATACAACAAAACCTCAATGACGTCTCGAGCGACATATTTATTCTTGATTACTGTCACAGTTTACGTTATTTTTAAAACAGTAAAGAAAGTAAAACTATCGTGTTATGGGGTTCAAATAAGTACCTTGTTACGTACCTTAAGTTACATATCTTAATTAAGTATGCTAAGCATGTTAAGAAGTAAGATAGATAGATAGATAATCAATAAAGTATATATGTATATACTGGATGTGTTGCAGGTGAAGTTAGTTACGTAGGTTAATTAAAATTAGAACAAGTCAATGTTAACTTTTTATCAAAAACTGGGTACACTGGGTTTTCTGGGTAAAAGTCCTGCATTTGTTAAATGAATCAGTCTGGCCTCCACCTTAGGTCGTCATTGATTAGACACTAAAACAAATGGCTTTACTTTATGTTTCCATAAGGAGTTTCACACACGAAGCTGGTGTCGAATCAGTACAGCATTATGTGTTCACCGTGTTTGATGAGGAGCTCCAGGACTCCAGAGTGGCTGTACTCCGCAGCGATGCCCAGAGGAGTGACTCCGTACTGGTCCGTCTCAGAAACCTTTCCCCCCCTCTGCAGCAGGAGCTCCATGACAGGAACACAGCCGGCTCTGGAGGCCTCGTGCATGGCCGTCCACTTCTTCAGACACACCTGCTCCACCTGAGCTCCTGCAGCCATCAGACTGGAAACCATCTGATAGGATCCGGCTCTCACTGCTGCACGAAGGAGGAACTAATGGTCAGAGGTGGGAAGTAGTAGAGTACAAATACTTCGTTACTGTACTTAAGTACGTTTTTCTGGTACCAGTAACTCCATTACTTATCTTTCTGACGACTTTTACTTTTTACATTTTGAACCCCAATACCTGTACTTTCTACTTCTTACATGTTGAACTCAAATACCTGTACTTTCTACTTCTTACATGTTGAACAAATACCTGTACTTTCTACTTCTTACATGTTGAACTCAAATACCTGTACTTTCTACTTCTTACATGTTGAAACAAATACCTGTACTTTCTACTTCTTACATGTTGAACCAAATACCTGTACTTTCTACTTCTTACATGTTGAACACAAATACCTGTACTTTCTACTTCTTACATGTTGAACCAAATACCTGTACTTTCTACTTCTTACATGTTGAACACAAATACCTGTACTTTCTACTTCTTACATGTTGAACTCAAATACCTGTACTTTCTACTTCTTACATGTTGAACTCAAATACCTGTACTTTCTACTTCTTACATGTTGAACACAAATACCTGTACTTTCTACTTCTACATGTTGAACACAATACCTGTACTTTCTACTTCTTACATGTTGAACCAAATACCTGTACTTTCTACTTCTTACATGTTGAACAAATACCTGTACTTTCTACTTCTTACATGTTGAACCAAATACCTGTACTTTCTACTTCTTACATGTTGAACCCAAATACCTGTACTTTCTACTTCTTACATGTTGAACCCAAATACCTGTACTTTCTACTTCTTACATGTTGAACTCAAATACCTGTACTTTCTACTTCTTACATGTTGAACCCAAATACCTGTACTTTCTATTTCTTACATGTTGAACCCAAATACCTGTACTTTCTACTTCTTACATGTTGAACACAAATACCTGTACTTTCTACTTCTTACATGTTGAACCAAATACCTGTACTTTCTACTTCTTACATGTTGAACTCAAATACCTGTACTTTCTACTTCTTACATGTTGACTCAAATACCTGTACTTTCTACTTCTTACATGTTGAACTCAAATACCTGTACTTTCTACTTCTTACATGTTGAACTCAAATACCTTAACTTTCTACTTCTACATGTTGAACCAAATACCTGTACTTTCTACTTCTTACATGTTGAACCCAAATACCTCTACTTTCTACTTCTTACATGTTGAACCAAATACCTGTACTTTCTACTTCTTACATGTTGAACTCAAATACCTGTACTTTCTACTTCTTACATGTTGAACTCAAATACCTGTACTTTCTACTTCTTACAGATGTTGAACCAAAGTACCTGTACTTTCTACTTCTTACATGTTGAACACAAATACCTGTACTTTCTACTTCTAACATGTTGAACTCAAATACCTGTACTTTCTACTTCTTACATGTTGAACTCAAATACCTGTACTTTCTTACTTCTTACATGTTGAACACAAATACCTGTACTTTCTACTCTTACATGTTGAACCTCAAATACCTGTACTTTCTACTTCTTACATGTTGAACACAAATACCTGTACTTTCTACTTCTTACATGTTGAACACAAATACCTGTACGTTCTACTTCTTACATGTTGAACCAAATACCTGTACTTTCTATTCTACTTCTCACATGTTGAACCCAAAATACCTGTACTTCTACTTCTTACATGTTGAACATCAATACCTGTAGCTTTCTACTTCTTACATGTTGAACCCAAATACCTGTACTTTCTACTTCTTACATGTTGAACCAAATACCTGTACTTTCTACTTCTTACATGTTGAACCAAATACCTGTACTTTCTACTTCTTACATGTTGAACTCAAATACCTGTACTTTCTACTTCTTACATGTTGAACTCAAATACCTGTACTTTCTACTTCTACATGTTGAACCAATACCTGTACTTTCTACTTCTTACATGTTGAACACAAATACCTGTACTTTCTACTTCTTACATGTTGAACTCAAATACCTGTACTTTCTACTTCTTACATGTTGAACTCAAATACCTGTACTTTCTACTTCTTACATGGAACAAATACCTGTACTTTCTACTTCTTACATGTTGAACAAATACCTGTACTTTCTACTTCTTACATGTTGAACTCAAATACCTGTACTTTCTACTTCTTACATGTTGAACCAAATACCTGTACTTTCTACTTCTTACATGTTGAACAAATACCTGTACTTTCTACTTCTTACATGTTGAACCAAATACCTGTACTTTCTACTTCTTACATGTTGAACTCAAATACATGTACTTTCTACTTCTTACATGTTGAACTCAAATACCTGTACTTTCTACTTTACATGTTGAACCCAAATACCTGTACTTTCTACTTCTTACATGTTGAACCAAATACCTGTACTTTCTACTTCTACATGTTGAACCCAAATACCTGTACTTTCTACTTCTTACATGTTGAACTCAAATACCTGTACTTTCTACTTCTTACATGTTGAACCCAAATACCTGTACTTTTCTACTTCTTACATGTTGAACCAAATACCTGTACTTTCTACTTCTACATGTTGAACCAAATACCTGTACTTTCTACTTCTTACATGTTGAACTCAAATACCTGTACTTTCTACTTCTTACATGTTGAACTCAAATACCTGTACTTTCTACTTCTTACATGTTGAACTCAAATACCTGTACTTTCTACTTCTTACATGTTGAACTCAAATACCTGTACTTTCTACTTCTTACTATGTTGAACACAAATACCTGTACTTTATACTTCTCACATGTTTGAACTCAAATACCTGTACTTTCTACTTCTTACCATGTTGAACTCAAATACCTGTACTTCTACTTCTTACATGTTGAACACAAATACCTGTACTTTCTACTTCTTACATTGTGAACACAAATACCTGTACTTTCTACTTTCTTACATGTTGAACACAAATACCTGTACTTTCTACTTCTTACATGTTGAACCCAAATACCTGTACTTTCTACTTCTTACATGTTGAACCCAAATACTGTCTTTCTACTTCTTCATTGTTGAACACCAAATACCTGTACTTTCTTACTTCTTACATGTTGAACCCAAATACATGTACTTTATACTTCTTACATGTTGAACACAAATACCTGTACTTTCTACTTCTTACATGTTGAACCCAAATACATGTACTTTCTACTTCTTACATGTTGAACACAAATACCTGTACTTTCTACTTCTCACATGTTGAACCCAAATACCTGTACTTTCTACTTCTTACATGTTGAACTCTACTTTACATGTGAACTCAAATACGTACTTTCTACTTCTTACATGTTGAACCCAAATACCTGTACTTTCTACTTCTTACATGTTGAACACAAATACCTGTACTTTCTACTTCTCACATGTTGAACTCAAATACCTGTACTTCTACTTCTTACATGTTGAACCCAAATACCTGTACTTTCTACTTCTTACATGGTTAACTCCAAATACCTGTACTTTCTACTTCTTTACATGTTGAACTCAAATACCTGTACTTTCTACTTCTACATGTTGAACTCAAATACCTGTACTTTCTACTTCTTACATGTTGAACCAAATACCTGTACTTTCTACTTCTCACATGTGGAACCCAAATACCTGTACTTTTCTACTTCTTACATGTTGAACTCAAATACCTGTACTTCTACTTCTCACATGTTGGAACCTCAAATACCTGTACTTTCTACTTCTTACTGTGAACTCAAATACCTGTACTTTCTACTTCTACATGTTGAACACAAATACCTGTACTTCTACTTCTTACATGTTGAACTCAAATACCTGTACTTTCTACTTCTACATGTGACACAAATACCTGTACTTTCTACTTCTTACATGTTGAAACGCAAATACTGTACTTTGTACTCTTACATGTTGAACTCAAATACCTGTACTTTCTACTTCTTACATGTTGAACACAAATACCTGTACTTTCTACTTCTTACATGTTGAACACAAATACCTGTACTTTCTACTTCTTACATGTTGAACCAAATACCTGTACTTTCTACTTCTTACATGTTGAACTCAAATACCTGTACTTTCTACTTCTTACATGTTGAACTCAAATACCTGTACTTTCTACTTCTTACATGTTGAACACAAATACCTGTACTTTCTACTTCTTACATGTTGAACTCAAATACCTGTACTTTCTACTTCTTACATGTTGAACTCAAATACCTGTACTTTCTACTTCTTACATGTTGAACTCAAATACCTGTACTTTCTACTTCTTACATGTTGAACACAAATACCTGTACTTTCTACTTCTTACATGTTGAACACAAATACCTGTACTTTCTACTTCTTACATGTTGAACTCAAATACCTGTACTTTCTACTTCTTACATGTTGAACAAATACCTGTACTTTCTACTTCTTACATGTTGAACTCAAATACCTGTACTTTCTACTTCTTACATGTTGAACTCAAATACCTGTACTTTCTACTTCTCACATGTTGAACCAAATACCTGTACTTTCTACTTCTTACATGTTGAACACAATACCTGTACTTTCTACTTCTTACATGTTGAACACAAATACCTGTACTTTCTACTTCTACATGTTGAACAAATACCTGTACTTTCTACTTCTTACATGTTGAACCCAAATACCTGTACTTTCTACTCTTACATGTTGAACTCAAATACCTGTACTTTCTACTTCTTACATGTTGAACCAAATACCTGTACTTTCTACTTCTTACATGTTGAACTCAAATACCTGTACTTTCTACTTCTTACATGTTGAACTCAAATACCTGTACTTTCTACTTCTTACATGTTGAACTCAAATACCTGTACTTTCTACTTCTTACATGTTGAACACAAATACCTGTACTTTCTACTTCTTACATGTTGAACACAAATACCTGTACTTTCTACTTCTTACATGTTGAACACAATTCCTGTACTTTCTACTTCTACATGTTGAACACAAATACCTGTACTTTCTACTTCTTACATGTTGAACCAAATACCTGTACTTTCTACTTCTTACATGTTGAACACAAATACCTGTACTTTCTACTTCTTACATGTTGAACTCAAATACCTGTACTTTCTACTTCTTACATGTTGAACTCAAATACCTGTACTTTCTACTTCAACATGTTGAACTCAAATACCTGTACTTTCTACTTCTTACATGTTGAACCAAATACCTGTACTTTCTACTTCTTACATGTTGAACTCAAATACCTGTACTTTCTACTTCTCACATGTTGAACTCAAATACCTGTATTTTACTTCTTCACATGTTGAACTCAAATACCTGTACTTTCTACTTCTTACATGTTGAACTCAAATACCTGTACTTTCTACTTCTTACATGTTGAACTCAAATACCTGTACTTTCTACTTCTTACATGTTGAACCAAATACCTGTACTTTCTACTTCTTACATGTTGAACTCAAATACCTGTACTTTCTACTTCTTACATGTTGAACTCAAATACCTGTACTTCTACTTCTTACATGTAAACTCAAATACCTGTACTTTCTACTTCTTACATGTTGAACTCAAATACCTGTACTTTCTACTTCTTACATGTTAAACTCAAATACATGTACTTTCTACTTCTTACATGTTGAACTCAAATACCTGTACTTTCTACTTCTTACATGTTGAACTCAAATACCTGTACTTTCTACTTCTTACATGTTAAACTCAAATACATGTACTTTCTACTTCTTACATGTTGAACTCAAATACCTGTACTTTCTACTTCTTACATGTTGAACTCAAATACCTGTACTTTCTACTTCTTACATGTTGAACTCAAATACCTGTACTTTCTACTTCTTACATGTTGAACACAAATACCTGTACTTTCTACTTCTTACATGTTAAACTCAAATACCTGTACTTTCTACTTCTTACATGTTGAACTCAAATACCTGTACTTTCTACTTCTTACATGTTGAACTCAAATACCTGTACTTTCTACTTCTTACATGTTGAACTCAAATACCTGTACTTTCTACTTCTTACATGTTGAACTCAAATACCTGTACTTTCTACTTCTTACATGTTGAACTCAAATACCTGTACTTTCTACTTCTTACATGTTGAACCCAAATACCTGTACTTTCTACTTCTTACATGTTGAACTCAAATACCTGTACTTTCTACTTCTCTCATTTCCCAAACAGCTGGTTCCTTTAGTCTGAATGTGTGTTTGATGCGTGATCATTATTCTTTAGAGTCATTGCGTGCCTATTGATTTGAACACGATCCGTGTATCCATCATTTCCTGGTCTTCTCTAAAGAAGAGGGACCAATGGAAACGTTGTCATGTTGCCGTTGTTCAGCATGGAAACATTCATTAGCTAACAATGACATTATTGTTCTATTAATATAAAGGGAGGTCAGGTACTCTTTAAAGCAGCTGCTAGTTATGGGTACTTTTTACTGAAGTACATTTCAAAGCCTCTTTACTTTGACTTGAGTAAAGAAGTTTAGTCAGTACTTCTACTTTTACCAGAGTCTTTTTAAACAAGAGTATCTGTACTTCTACTTGAGTAAAGGATGTGTACTTTTGCCATCTCTGCTGATAATCAGTTTGAAACATAGCTCAATACGTAGATTACCAAACGTGAGGAAGTGTTCTGACCTAAAAGCAGCGGGGTTTCGTTCTTGCTGTTGGTCGTGTGAGGAGAAGCGCCGTTCTCCAACAACAGCTTCACGTTTTCCAACAAATCATTTCCAACCGCTAAAGTCAGGAAGGTCTCGCCCTCCGAAGTCTTTTCCTCCAGAGTCAGACGGAAAGACGCTGAAGAGCACGAGAAAAAGTTGGTAATTATAACACTTTATTTAGTCATTAAAAAACCTGTTCTTCAACTCCACCATGTCAGGTCTATAAGTTCAGCTAAACTTTGAGACAGACATTGACCGTGTAGCTCAGATTTGAACCTTGTATGACCTTTCTACATTTATCCGTCCTATTTTTCTTTTCTGGAGACTTGTACTTGATGCCTTTTTCCCTGCAGAGGCCACTAAACTTGACCATATACGTTTTTTTAAACCGGACTCTCAGCGGTATTTTTAATATCAAATAATTGTTTCTGTCATAATGTGAATATCTTTCTCAGTTTCTCTCATCAAAATGGTTAAAAGGTTTGTCACAGGTAATCAATGTGAAACCTTATTTTAAAGCCTCATGTAGAAGTTGAACATTGATGCGGACAATGCAGACGCTGACAATGGAACAAAATGAATGCAAAAGTATAAATGTTAAAGTTCATTTATTAAATAGTATAAAAAGAAATAGATATTTTACATGCACAGTATACTGATGATTTCTTGTTTGGATTGAACATTTAATGCAATAATAATTCAGATAATACATAACCATCGGTTTGGTTTCTTCTCGCTCTAAACTGTGAAATAAATTGTGGACCTCTTACCCACCGTACAGCACCGTCTCCAGGACCAGAACCAGAGGTTGCACCACTGCCCAGTGCAGAGGAAACCAGCCGCGCTCATCCGCCTGACTGAAGGATGCTGGGAAATCACAGAGCTGCCGCAGAGCCAACATGTCACCTGCAGAGACATTTCAGTACTTTTATTCAAGGAGAATTAAAATGTTACTTTATTTGATCTCTGCATGGATGTGTGTACTTCTACTTGAGTAAAGGATGTGTGTACTTCTACGTGAGTAAAGGATGTGTGTACTTCTACTTGAGTAAAGGATGTGTGTACTTCTACTTGAGTAAAGGATGTGTGTACTTCTACTTGAGTAAAGGATGTGTGTACTTCTACTTGAGTAAAGGATGTGTGTACTTCTACTTGAGTAAAGGATGTGTGTACTTCTACTTGAGTAAAGGATGTGTGTACTTCTACTTGAGTAAAGGATGTGTGTACTTCTACTTGAGTAAAGGATGTGTGTACTTCTACGTGAGTAAAGGATGCGCGTACTTCTACTTGAGTAAAGGATGTGTGTACTTCTACTTGAGGAAAGGATGTGTGTACTTCTACTTGAGTAAAGGATGCGCGTACTTCTACTTGAGTAAAGGATGTGTGTACTTCTACGTGAGTAAAGGATGTGTGTACTTCTACGTGAGTAAGGATGTGTGTACTTCTACGTGAGGAAAGGATGTGTGTACTTCTACTTGAGGAAAGGATGTGTGTACTTCTACTTGAGGAAAGGATGTGTGTACTTCTGCCTTCTCAGATCAGTGGTTATTGTTTCTGTGTTTATCATTACTGGAAAACTACTGGGCCAATTGTTATGAAACGTTGTGGAATTGTTCAGCATTGGCCAAGGAACCCGTTAAATGTTGAAATCTGCATTTTAATGTTTTACTTGTGTTAACTTTGCAATGCAATGACCCAAGGAAGATCCAGCTAAATTATACTAATTCCTTTCATGGAAAACAAAGGTTGTAATAAACCTGTTTCTGATTCTTGGTCAAACGATATTCCCCCCTTGGTGTTTTGGTTTTTACACTTTACAGATTCTGAGAAAGCATCATTTTAAACTTTTTGTTTGTATTTGTATATTTTCTGGGTCAACTAACATCCAGTCTATTTGACCAAGGACTCAAGACGTCATCCTCTCTTATACTGACAAAACATTTATTGATGTTGTTTTAAAACAAGTTGTGATTGCTAACCACAGCCAGGTTTGACTCTGTACCTTGTTTGATGGCCCCCACGAGCTTCATAGCCTCACTTCTAGATGTTAAAACAGAAAGACGGCTTTAAATATTTAGAAAAATGAAAACACGTTGAATTTGATATTCCTAGTGAAGTTGTTTCATGTTGCTGCACCTCTCTGGTCTCTGAACCGACTCCTGGATGCTCCTCTGAACATCGTAGTGCATAAGATCGTCTTCATCAAGGTCCTCAGCTGCATCCATCCTACTGACCACACACACACACACACACACACACACACACACACACACACCACACTTCACATGATTTTGAACAGTACAAGCAGATACACTGATTCCTGCCAATGCATAAACTACACATGTTGTGGGTAATGTACGGATGATTATTTGGACCACATGTGAACATCTGATCATCTCCAGTGGGTATAAAGTAATGAAATACTTTGTTTGCTAAACTAACCATCACATGGATTGCCTTGTGTTGAAATGTGCTTTTATAAATACTTGCTTTGCCTACATCTAAATATAAGACCAGATATCGTCTTATATTTGGGATTCATAATATTGTAATATGGCATAAGTGTTGTATTTCCCTTGTCTTAAAAGCTTCATTAAAGTCATGTCATTTTCACATTTGTATTTGTTGTCTTCTCCAACTTTCCGATAATATTTCCATTACTGATTATTTATCAAAAATGCCATTTTATGAAGCACCAAAAGTCGACTCTACAACATCGATATCGAGGCATTTGATTGAAAATATTGTGATTCCACAAAATGTGTTTAATCTTATATGTAATATTGCTGTTTTGAATGCTGATCTGACGGCACTAGCTTTTAGTTTGGATCTAGGCCACAGCTCTCAGTGAGTTGTGTTCATTCATTCAGACTCCAAAATCACATTTAAATTAACCTGCTTTTTCTTTCTAGGACTCTTAATGTATTTGATATCGGCTCTATTTTCAGACGAGTTTGACCCCTGACCTAATCAGATATAATAAGTGTTGCTCAACAAACCACAGTATGTACACAATGTTTTTAATTTAACATCATTCTGTAGAAGAAAGCTTGCAAAACACACCTGTAACGTGACAAAAACTGCACTGAATCAGTCTCACCTGATAAATGTGTCAGTGTTCGAGTCAAAGGACGAAGCAGCAGCAGCAGCACAGTGTTTCTGTCATGGCCGAAGTCCTCACACACACACACACACACACACACACACACACACACACACACACACACACACACACACACACACTCCACAACACTATTTATAGGTGTCACCTGTTCCAGTGTATTTAACATGCAGGCCGTTCAGCAGCACCTAATGGAGTGTAATGTCGCTCTGCACATTTCCCACAGCTAATGATAAACAATAATGAAGTGGTCTGCTGTATGAATATTTATTGTGTCATTATGATCCGCCGTGTGCTCAAAACACCGTTAAAAAACAAGTCGATGACAACCTGCTGAAGTATTGAAGAGGCTTCAAGAGGGAAATTACTTTTAACCTGATCTCCAGCTGCGGCTTTGATTAGCATTTTAAAGTGCTTTTTTTGCACTTTTTTTCATGTCTATTTACTACCAATTATTTAAGCTCCAAAACATACTGCTACTTCCTGGCCTCAACACATAAAGCAAGATCTTGTATATTTTATCATTTTAATCACAATGTAGCAGCAAAAGAGCAGTTTTCTGAAACACCAATATTAAAATGTTGACATGAAGTCATGTGACCATGCTGTAGTTTCTTTATAGCCCAACATTAGCCGCCTTTAGCTTAGCGGTGGTGACGTGAAGTCATGTGATCGTGCTGTAGTTTCTTTATAGCCCAACATTAGCCGCCTTTAGCTTAGCGGTGGTGACGTGAAGTCATGTGACCGTGCTGTAGTTTCTTTATAGCCCAACATTAGCCGCCTTTAGCTTAGCGGTGGTGACGTGAAGTCATGTGACCATGCTGTAGTTTCTTTATAGCCCAACATTAGCCACCTTTAGCTTAGCGGTGGTGACGTGAAGTCATGTGACCGTGCTGTAGTTCCTTTATAGCCCAACATTAGCCGCCTTTAGCTTAGCGGTGGTGACGTGAAGTCATGTGACCGTGCTGTAGTTCCTTTATAGCCCAACATTAGCCACCTTTAGCTTAGCGGTGGTGACGTGAAGTCATGTGACCGTGCTGTAGTTCCTTTATAGCCCAACATTAGCCTCCTTTAGCTTAGCGGTGGTGACGTGAAGTCATGTGACCGTGCTGTAGTTCCTTTATAGCCCAACATTAGCCACCTTTAGCTTAGCGGTGGTAACGTGAAGTCATGTGACCATGCTGTAGTTCCTTTATAGCCCAACATTAGCCTCCTTTAGCTTAGCGGTGGTGACGTGAAGTCATGTGACCGTGCTGTAGTTCTTTATAGCCCAACATTAGCCTCCTTTAGCTTAGCGGTGGTGACGTGAAGTCATGTGACCGTGCTGTAGTTCCTTTATAGCCCAACATTAGCCACCTTTAGCTTAGCGGTGGTGACGTGAAGTCATGTGACCGTGCTGTAGTTCCTTTATAGCCCAACATTAGCCTCCTTTAGCTTAGCGGTGGTGACGTGAAGTCATGTGACCATGCTGTAGTTTCTTTATAGCCCAACATTAGCCACCTTTAGCTTAGCGGTGGTGACGTGAAGTCATGTGACCGTGCTGTAGTTTCTTTATAGCCCAACATTAGCCACCTATAGCTTAGCGGTGGTGACGTGAAGTCATGTGACCGTGCTGTAGTTCCTTTATAGCTTAACATTAGCCACCTTTAGCTTAGCGGTGGTGACGTGAAGTCATGTGACCGTGCTGTAGTTTCTTTATAGCCATAGCTGTGGGAACATGTTTCAAATGGGGGGCGCTGTGGGGATGACACCAGGGCTGGTTCTGACCAATTTGCTGCATTTTAGCTGGCAATGAAAAACCTCTACAAAAGACCAATACACTAGAAAAAGAGAAACATATTGACATGGTGGACAGCTTATATAAAAAGGCTTCAAATGTATTTAGTATTGTATGAACATGTTTTAATTGAGGGGTGGACTTCACATCCTCTAAGGGGGTCCGGGGGTTCCCCCCGCGAAGATTTTAAAGTAAAATACTTCAATCTGGTGCACTTTGAGCGCCCAATTACTAGAGACTGATCTAGGGGGTACAACTCTAAAACACCCATGTGAAAAAGATCGGTTTGCATTTTATTAATCAAATAAGTATGTGAACATAACCGATAACCTACCATAGCCAATAATAAATAAATGTAGGCTAACTTGTTTTATTTTTGTGGTTTATATCTTATTTTACCTAGTTAACATTTATTTATGCATATTTTTTAATATCTCCAGTTTTAAACAATATTTTTGGTTTACTGTCCTATAGTATACATTGAAATTATTTCAAACCTGTTTAATCTTGTGGAAGTGCAGATCCCCTGTCCTCCACCAGGGGGTGCTGCAGCACCCTCAGCACCCCTACTTCCCACGGCCCTGTTTATAGCCCAACATTAGCCGCCTTTAGCTTAGCGGTGGTGACGTGAAGTCATGTGACCGTGCTTTAGTTCCTTTATAGCCTTACTCCAGCTTTTCACCTCAAAAATCATGTGATTTGAATCCACTCCAAAATGTTATGGGTTCTTCTTTGTCCCATGCTACACCCTTCTATAAATGTACATGAAAATCAAACCAGTATTTTGTTTACAAAATTGTGCTTATAAAAACCAGAAATAACAAAGCTTAAAAAACAGAAACGTCCTTTTAAAATATGCAGGAATCTAGCAGAGGAAATCCATAATGTGTTCATATGATGCGTTCGAGGTCCTGGCTGTAGAGGTCGAGCTCCTGGTACAGTATGAAGTGTTTCAGTCTGGGGGGGAAAATGTGCGAGTCCATGACTTCAGGTTTGTTGAGTCTCTTCAGGGTCAGACGCCTCCGGATCTCCAGTCTGCAGAGGTGCCGCAGGGAACGAGGGCTGTCTGGAGGGCAAGGTAAAAAAATAAATGGGTTTTACTTTGTTAATTCATTCTTCCATAAAACACAGAACTTGTGCAGGAAAGATACCAAACATATTCAGCTCATTTTCAGGTTCACATTAGTATTCAATGTCTCTTCTGGTACATGTCTCCATGCTTTAATGTTCAGAAAGCTCTATATTTTTCTCTTTTCACCCTCTGTCTGAAACCTTCTCTGATTGGTTAGCTGGCTGGCTCTGTTGTGATTGGTCAACCACTTAGAGATGTCCCGCCCCTTGCCTATCACGTACGATGAGTTGGAGTAATAGAAGCGAAAGAGTTACATGATGATGTTACTATAAGTAAACAAAGGAGTCCAATGGAGGCGTTTCAGGCAGGGGGAGGGGGGGATATGTGGGAGAGAAAATCCCGGACAACACAGGGATTTTAGCCTTTGCAGACCATTTACATGCACTAAAACCTATAGAACACATCAAAGGAGAGGGAAACCCCCAAAACAATTAAAGGGCCTCGTTTAAAGTGATATTTCTTGTTATTGATGAGTCTTTATCTCAGGTAAGGTTTTGCACCTTGCCTCCAGCCTGATAATAATCTTGAATGAACTCACTGAGGATGTCGCAGATGTCGGGCCACTCTCTCTGTTTCTTCAGGAGCAGCCTGAGTTTGGAGCAGATCTGGACGTGGTTGACGTAGTCGAGCAGAGTCCGGACCACCGTGCCGGACAGATGCATGACGCAGCAGAGGCTCATGAACTCACAGAACTGCAGAGAGAACGGACAATCACAAGGTCAACAATGTCTTCTCTAGAACACTTTCCAGTTTCCCCCCCTTTTTCTAACTGATGTCACTTACTGGACTTTTGCTTGGATTATTGGCAACGTTTTCATTATTCATTAAATATTGTCATTTGGGTTAAAATAGTTACCTTGTTGCGTACTTTAAGTTACGTATCTGAAAAGAAGGCTAACCAAATGACGTAAGTAATATAAACTACGTAGATTAATTTTCGAACCTAGCTGATGTCACTTACTGGAATCTTCCCCTGCCCTTCATTGGCTTCACGGACATCGTCATCATGGTGGCAGTGAAAGCAGCGCTCCACCTTGTATCCGTTGTTGAGCAGCAGCCTCATCATCACCTCGTCCTTCAGGCAGTACTGCAGCGCCGTGGGAAACACCGTGTCGTTCAGCACCGTGAAGTAACAGTTCACGTCCGCTTTAGCCGCCAGCAGCAGCTTCACGATGTCGTAGCGCCCCGACCTGACCGCCACCAGGAGGCAGCACAGAGGGTCCAGGTCCGTCTTCGCTCCGGC